CCACCCCCTTCCGTGTAATTTAGGCTCTTGTGTCTCCCTAGTCACCCGCCCTCCATGTGATTTAGGCTCTTGTGCCTCTCTAGTCTCTGGCCTCCCTGTGGTCCTGACTGTTGTAAGAACGTAAGAACTCCATACAGACTTAATGGTAGTGCGATTTGAGGCAGTTCAGATATGAGAGCTTAAATAGTGTAGGATTCATTGATTTCAAAACTATTTTGACAGGGAATTCCCTAAACCTCCAAGCTGTGATTTCGTTGGTTTGGGTGTAAGCATCTTATCAACAGCTAAGCTAACTAATTAAGGACGTTCCTCAATGTGTTTAATTAAGGCGTGTCTGCTTGAAGCGGTAAGGTGCTGATCTGATGCCTACTTCAGAGTGTTACATCCGGTCACATTATACTGACAAATGTTGAACTAGACCGCAATGAACAAAACTTACTTTTCTGCAACATTTGGACAGAAAACAAGAGAATAGCGGAGCGCTAAAAAACACCGTACTTCAAACTGAAAATCAATCAAACTTGGGCAAAATATTAACGAAGGAAAGATACCCTCGGAGATCCCGTGAAAATACACTAGGGCCCGTATTCATGAAAATGTTCTCCTGTTCAAACTCAGACTTTGTGCTCAAGCCCGTTTTCTTATTCCGGTAATAAAGTGATAATAATTAACAATTCGTCAATGATTCAGAAGAATGTTTGACAGGCTTCTGGCAGAGTACCGTTATAATGCCTAGATCTATGCGAGTTTAAAGAAAGTTGACTTGAGCACAGAATCAAATCTTGAGCATAGCCGGTTTCATGAATACCGGTGTTCCTGAAAGGTAAGCATGTGTCTGTTGACCTCCAGGTTATGCTACATTTCTATCATATCGAGTGATAACGAGCTTGTTTTGTGTGGTAATAACGCTGTTTTACATTTGCAGGGTCTGGGTTGCTGCAGTGATTACAGTGTGTCGTTCCACTACATGAGTCCGGCAGACATGTACCTGATGGACTATCTGGTATATCACCTCCGCCCCTTCGGTCTCCATCGTATAGACAAGAAAACGAACTACTTTTTACCTGTGGGAAAAAAGTGAATACCATATGGAGTGGTTTAGTAATACAGAAACAAACATACCAATACATATATGTAACTACTGCATTTTTACATGCTCTTAGTAATGCTTATTTCCCATGGAATGTGCTGTCAGTATGCACGTTACTTGCCATCAACATCCCTGTTTCCTGTGACGTGCCACCAATATCCCTGTTTCCTGTGACGTGCCACCAATATCCCTGTTTGCTGTGACGTGCCATCAATATCCCTGTTTCCTGTGACGTGCCACCAATATCCCTGTTTCCTGTGACGTGCCACCAATATCCCTGTTTCCTGTGACGTGCCACCAATATCCCTGTTTCCTGTGACGTGCCACCAATATCCCTGTTTCCTGTGACGTGCCACCAATATCCCTGTTTCCTGTGACGTGCCACCAATATCCCTGTTTCCTGTGACGTGCCACCAATATCCCTGTTTCCTGTGACGTGCCACCAATATCCCTGTTTCCTGTGACGTGCCACCAATATCCCTGTTTCCTGTGACGTGCCACCAATATCCCTGTTTCCTGTGACGTGCCACCAATATCCCTGTTTCCTGTGACGTGCCACCAATATCCCTGTTTCCTGTGACGTGCCACCAATATCCCTGTTTCCTGTGACGTGCCACCAATATCCCTGTTTCCTGTGACGTGCCACCAATATCCCTGTTTCCTGTGACGTGCCACCAATATCCCTGTTTCCTGTGACGTGCCACCAATATCCCTGTTTCCTGTGACGTGCCACCAATATCCCTGTTTCCTGTGACGTGCCATCAATATCCCTGTTTCCTGTGACGTGCCATCAATATCCCTGTTTCCTGTGACGTGCCATTAATGTTTTTCTGTGATTTGCTACATGCATAATACGGTAACATGTGTCTATAAGGAGTTTAACTGTCTCGTGCGGAGACGAATACAGCCAGCAGAGTTAACATGAGTCACTTCTCTGGCTCGCGATACCAAAGGAACAATTGGTCAACATAACGTTTAGAAAAACGACACAGGATTCGGTTACACATCGAGTGAAGGATTCGTCTCACATAAAGTGCACAATATTTACAATAGGTGTGTCAGTATGTGAGACGAATCCTTAAAGTATTTCGAGAGTGACTACAAAATATGATTTGTCCAGGAGTGTAATTTTGTTGCAATCTTCTAAAAAAAAAACACACTTGTTGAGCCATGACTTCATCATAAAGCGAACCGACTGGCCAAAAACATTTTCTGTTTTCTGCAATTTGGTCGGATGCGGTTCCACCAGAAATTAGTCCCACACTTGAATATGACATTTTGCGATCGCCTTTTACCTGTCGTCATCCGGCGGCGGTCCTCCATCATCAATACGTAGGAATTTACGTTTGTGACTTCTTCTCAAAACCTGCTGAATCGATATCAGTAAAATTTTGAAGGACGGTTTCATAGTCTAAGACAAACAAAACAAAAATATTGATCCCATCGCTAGGGGCTTCAGGAGCCAAAGAGGAGTCAAATTAGCTAAAGTTTCAACAATCTTCTTTTTGTTCAAACCCACATACCAGAATCAAATACATGTACTCTTCTAATTGTTAATTTTATTACCCCCGGGTCACCCATCCTTCTCTCCAAGAGTGGGTAAAGTTCCTATAGCTGTGGTAGGGAAACAACAGTTTTGAGTAGAGTTTTTGTTTTTAGTGCGAAATCATTCAAACTTGATTCGAATGATTATCATGTGAAGGCAGTTTGATGGTGTGAAAATTCATCTCGAAGACCCTGACACATCGTTAGGGATTGAGGCAGGGGGTCCAAAGGGTTGAGCTGGGCAAACATCTTCAGTGTCAAATACGATAAAATCCAAAAAATTTCATTGATGGAAAGTTCCTTAGGTGCTTCATCAAAATCATCAATTGCATTACCCCGGGGTCTCCTTTTTCCCTGGAGAGCGGTAAATCTTAATATGGAATTTACACGTTTCGGTGTATTTTCAGCTGGATATAATTCAAACTTGTTTTTGTCTGAATCCACAGTTTAGATGCCATATTTAGTTTATTAATGTACTGACCAACAAACAAGTTGTATATAACGACTTAGGTGACCTTGGGGCCTTTTGTTATGCTGACTTTAAAACACGATGTGTTTGCCGAACGTTTGCACGTGTTATTATATATAATATTTAATCATCATTGCATGTACGTTACAAAATGTATTGATAAATATAATGAATTATTGCCATACCATTAATAGACATATGTTTTTACTTTTACTTCGCTTCATTTACATTTACATAATTTCGCTTCAATTAGAGAGTATTTGATAACAGTATACATCGGACGCCAATTTTATTACTGTTCCGCCGAAAGTTATAGATCTTAAATGGGACTCGTGTGTACTAGAGTTGTTAATACAGGGACTCGTGTGTACTAGAGTTTATACAGGGACTCCTGTGTACTAGAGTTTATACAGGGACTCCTGTGTAATAGAGTTTATACAGGGACTCCTGGGTACTAGAGTATATACAGGGACTCCTGTGTACTAGAGTTTATACAGGGACTCCTGTGTACTAGAGTATATACAGGGACTCCTGGGTACTAGAGTATATACAGGGACTCCTGGGTACTAGAGTATATACAGGGACTCCTGGGTACTAGAGTTTATACAGGGACTCTTGTGTACTAGAGTTTATACAGGGACTCCTGTGTACTAGAGTTTATACAGGGCCTCCTGTGTAATAGAGTCTATACAGGGACTCCTGTTTAATAGAGTTTATACAGGCACTCCTGTGTACTAGAGTCTATACAGGGACTCCTGTGTACTAGAGTTTATACAGGGACTCTTGTGTACTATAGAGTTTATACAAGGACTCCTGTGTACTATAGAGTTTATACAGGGACTCCTGTGTACTAGAGTCTATACAGGGGCTCCTGTGTAATAGAGTTTATACAGGGACTCCTGTGTACTAGAGTTTATACAGGGACTCCTGTGTAATAGAGTTTATACAGGCACTCCTGTGTAATAGAGTCTATACAGGGACTCCTGTGTACTAGAGTTTATACAGGGACTCTTGTGTACTATAGAGTTTATACAGGGACTCCTGTGTAATTGAGTCTATACAGGGACTCCTGTGTACTAGAGTTTATACAGGGATTCCTGTGTAATAGAATATATACAGGGACTCCTGTGTAATAGAGTTTATACAGGGACTCTTGTGTACTATAGAGTTTATACAGGGACTCCTGTGTACTAGAGTCTATACAGGGACTCCTGTGTACTAGAGTTTATACAGGGATTCCTGTGTAATAGAATATATACAGGGACTCCTGTGTAATAGAGTTTATACAGGGACTCTTGTGTACTATAGAGTTTATACAGGGACTCCTGTGTACTAGAGTCTATACAGGGACTCCTGTGTACTAGAGTTTATACAGGGATTCCTGTGTAATAGAATATATACAGGGACTCCTGTGTAATAGAGTTTATACAGGGACTCTTGTGTACTATAGAGTTTATACAGGGACTCCTGTGTACTATAGAGTTTATACAGGGACTCCTGTGTACTAGAGTTTATACAGGGACTCCTGTGTACTAGAGTTCAGTTGATACATGGAATCGCATTTTTTTCCATGTTTAATGGATTAGGGGAAAACGTTTAAGTTTGAATATGTAAAACGGTTAATGTTGTATTGAATATTTTTAAATGTCTAATGGTGTTATGAATGAATTATTAATTTTAATATTTTTATAGTTTCCTAATTGTTGAGCTTATAGCTGATGGGAGTATCTGTTCCTAACCAATATACATGTAGTTATCGGAAGTGTATAGTGATCGGTATCCTCCTGTCCTAGTTTTCCCAATAGGGCTATACATTGTATCATGAAGCTATGTTGCGTTGCTATTTACCAAATTATAATAAATGATTATCACAACTTATATCTTCTCATAATCGTCTGTGACTATGTAGCGCACTAGGAACCAAGTGATCGTCTACACGTAGTTCAAGCCGTGTTAATGTGTCCCGGGGATATTAGATTCATGTTATCAAGAGATAACACAAGCCAAACGACACCGGGTGATGTCCGCGTAAACAGGAAACCCATCCCAACTACGTAACTATCTTATTTATAATCGTATTTCTATCTCACTACGTATATATCAGGATCATCATGCAGACAATCGTATTTCTATCTCACTGCGTATATATCAGGATCATCATGTAGACAATCGTATTTCTATCTCACTAAGTATATATCAGGATCATTATATAGACAATCGTATTTCTATCTCACTACGTATATATCAGGATCATCATGTAGACAATCGTATTTCTATCTCACTACGTATATATCAGGATCATCATGTAGACAATCGTATTTCTATCTCACTACGTATATATCAGGATCATCATGTAGACAATCGTATTTCTATCTCACTACGTATATATCAGGATCATCATGTAGACAATCGTATTTCTATCTCACTACGTATATATCAGGATCATCATGTAGACAATCGTATTTCTATCTCACTACGTATATATCAGGATCATCATGTAGACAATCGTATTTCTATCTCACTACGTATATATCAGGATCATCATGTAGACAATCGTATTTCTATCTCACTACGTATATATCAGGATCATCATGTAGACAATCGTATTTCTATCTCACTACGTATATATCAGGATCATCATGTAGACAATCGTATTTCTATCTCACTACGTATATATCAGGATCATCATGTAGACAATCGTATTTCTATCTCACTACGTATATATCAGGATCATCATGTAGACAATCGTATTTCTATCTCACTACGTATATATCAGGATCATCATGTAGACAATCGTATTTCTATCTCACTACGTATATATCAGGATCATCATGTAGACAATCGTATTTCTATCTCACTACGTATATATCAGGATCATCATGTAGACAATCGTATTTCTATCTCACTACGTATATATCAGGATCATCATGTAGACAATCGTATTTCTATCTCACTACGTATATATCAGGATCATCATGTAGACAATCGTATTTCTATCTCACTACGTATATATCAGGATCATCATGTAGACAATCGTATTTCTATCTCACTACGTATATATCAGGATCATCATGTAGACAATCGTATTTCTATCTCACTACGTATATATCAGGATCATCATGTAGACAATCGTATTTCTATCTCACTACGTATATATCAGGATCATCATGTAGACAATCGTATTTCTATCTCACTACGTATATATCAGGATCATCATGTAGACAATCGTATTTCTATCTCACTACGTATATATCAGGATCATCATGTAGACAATCGTATTTCTATCTCACTACGTATATATCAGGATCATCATGTAGACAATCGTATTTCTATCTCACTACGTATATATCAGGATCATCATGTAGACAATCGTATTTCTATCTCACTACGTATATATCAGGATCATCATGTAGACAATCGTATTTCTATCTCACTACGTATATATCAGGATCATCATGTAGACAATCGTATTTCTATCTCACTACGTATATATCAGGATCATCATGTAGACAATCGTATTTCTATCTCACTACGTATATATCAGGATCATCATGTAGACAATCGTATTTCTATCTCACTACGTATATATCAGGATCATCATGTAGACAATCGTATTTCTATCTCACTACGTATATATCAGGATCATCATGTAGACAATCGTATTTCTATCTCACTACGTATATATCAGGATCATCATGTAGACAATCGTATTTCTATCTCACTACGTATATATCAGGATCATCATGTAGACAATCGTATTTCTATCTCACTACGTATATATCAGGATCATCATGTAGACAATCGTATTTCTATCTCACTACGTATATATCAGGATCATCATGTAGACAATCGTATTTCTATCTCACTACGTATATATCAGGATCATCATGTAGACAATCGTATTTCTATCTCACTACGTATATATCAGGATCATCATGTAGACAATCGTATTTCTATCTCACTACGTATATATCAGGATCATCATGTAGACAATCGTATTTCTATCTCACTACGTATATATCAGGATCATCATGTAGACAATCGTATTTCTATCTCACTACGTATATATCAGGATCATCATGTAGACAATCGTATTTCTATCTCACTACGTATATATCAGGATCATCATGTAGACAATCGTATTTCTATCTCACTACGTATATATCAGGATCATAATATAAACAATTGTATTTCTATCGCACTACGTTTATATCAGGAGCATCATGTAGACAATCGTATTTCTATCGCG